GAAGGGAGACTGTTTAAAAACCTGTAAAGTAACAAGGTAATAGGAAATATTGTTGCAGCTATTAGCCAGATGTTGACCTTTCCCATCTTAAGATCGCACAGCATTTATCTTGGATCCAGAAGGCAATTGATTCTCTCTTCAAGGGGAGCTGACATTCTAACTATATTATCTCTGATATATGTGTACTCTGGTTATTGACCAAATGAGAAAGTCAGATGCTGTAGGTAAAGGGCAGGATAGTTTAATCTAAATGCAGAGGTACTAAGGTCTTTTGTATTCTGACCTATAAAATTATCATTTGTGCCCAAAGGACCTCAAGTCTGCATTGTTCCTGTGGGTTATTAAATGTCTATATATTCTCAAACAAGATACACGAGAGAGAACAGAAAATCTAAGCATATTAGTCGGTCCTGCAAGTGAATAAGCTGTTCTAATTGCTGTGGAAGGGATACTTCATTTTGAATCTTAAATCAGTTAGTGGAGATTTGATTTAAAATTTAAAACTTGGGGAGGCGACAGTGGTGCGTGCGTGACATAGAAAATCGATTAAAATAAAAATGTTTTCATTATCTCTTCCTATGGTAATTCTAAAAATGGTGTCCCCTGAAATCCTGTGAAACTGGAATATGGCAAGGTGGGGACGGTGCTTAGGAACCAGAGTGTGCAAATAACCAGAACAAGGGGAAACTGATCACTCTATTCTTCATTGTCCAAGCTGAATAAAATGTAAAAAAAGATTTGATGTAAATTAGGTATTTAGTAATTTTGTTTTAATAATCTTGAGGCTGTGATTTTTATATTGCTCATTTTATTGAATGATATAGACAATTGCTTGAAGTATTTCTGAAATTACTAGGTAGCCCAACGGGAAGTAGTAGTATTTATGTGTACTGTAGTGGCATGTAATCATGAACCAGACCCCATTGTGCTAACCATCAAGCATGTAAGAGAGACTGTCCCTATCCCAAAGACCTTACGATGTATCGAATTAAATAATATAGTTCAATAAGGATTTCTGAATGTAACACTTCCCAAACCTGTATCCTATTCAGACAAAGACCCATCCAATATGACATAGCGACTTAAACTGACAAAAAATATCCAGTCTCCACCCAGGGTTGTATGCAAAAAACTTTTGTCTGCATCACCCTCTTGAAATATTCCTCTAAAGAGAATAGAGAGCCCCCCAGGTGTAAATTGGCGTAGCTCATTGAAGCGAACAGGTTTATGCCTGTTTAAGGGCCCAGTCCAGCACCCTTTGAAGCCAGCAGAAAGCCTCCCAATGACTTCAGTGATCTTTGAATCAGGCTCTAAAAGCCACTGAGGATTTTGGCCTGTAAAAATTTTTTTTTTTTTTTTTTTGCCATCTCACTCATGAGAAGCACCTTTGAAAAGGACAGGGTTTAAAAAGAGTCATGCTACCTTTCCTAACTCTTCTCCGCAATGTCTGCCTAATCTGTATTGCTGCCATCATCAATATTCTGATGGACATTTACAAGTCCCCAGGGCACTTTGAATTTGTAATCGGGAAATTGGAAGATGCGTGTCCATAATATTTATACGGGTACATATTTAAATATGATTCATATGCATACATTAATTTGATTACATTTTTTGCACAGGCTAAGCATTATTAGACTTCATCACTTAAAGCATCTCACACGGTTGTTTTGTGCCTATGAAGTTGGCACTGAAATATTTTTATGGTATATTTTCAATAGACAGAAAAATGGATGAGCTTTTTAGTTAGTGCACTCTTTGTCTTAAATATAACTAACTCCCACTACAATCTACCTGCGATATGCTGTGCTTAACTGATTTCATTTTGATAGTGCTGTAAGCTGGTCTCTGATAATTGCCTTCTGTAATTGGAACAAATTTATGATTATGCTAATTCATCCTCTGCCACCCAATGTAGAGAAGCTGAGTTAATCCATATCTGCCCCTGCATTTCTTTTGTAGATCATTACATGATTAGCCTTTGGTGGAAATTTATGGGAACATTTTAATTCTGAGCAGGCCTGATTTCTGGGGAAAAAACATTTTTATATATAAATTTAAGTTGCATTATAGACAGTCATTCTGAAACTTAGTTCATGAGTCAAGCATTAAAGATCTTCAGACAGTCTAATCCTTAAAAAGGCAGCTATTTTCAGCATATTATAAGCAATTGCATGACATCCACTGATGATAAAGCAAGGGAAGTTAAATGCTAATGAATTTTAAGTCAACTCTTCAGAGATCCCAGGTTAAAAATTCAGAGTTAGTGTTTCATTTGGATATGGAAATGTGGTGAATTATCTCACACCTTTGCTTTTTGTGTCCTTTGTGGAGAAGTTATCTAAAGGGAACCTAGATCACTGGAAATGGTAAAATAAAAAAAGCCAAGTTAGCAGTTCATCCTTTAAAAAATTGCTTTCTAAACTCCTGCTGCTTTAGAAGTATTAATCAGATGTGGCAGAGGCACCTTTCTGGTTTAAAGAAAGTACTTTTCTAGGAGAAGGGGGTCTTGCAGTGGTGGCTGGGATTAGTGAGGAGAATTCACAGTGCTGTCAAACATGCAGATAAAAAGCAAAAGGCACTGCATGCCCTCTCTTACAAATCATCTTTTGATTGCACATCTCTCAATGCTTTCACGTTTATGTTCCGTCTGTTTAATGTTCTCCCTTCACACTGATCATCATTCTTTTAAATGCTTTGCATTAATGTAAACGTTTTTCATTCGCAATCTCAGGCTCAGTAAACAATGGATCACAGTGCACTCTCTCTCTCTCCTGGAAAATATTGAGTTGTCTAGAGGAAAAATAGCATGAGGTCCAAAAGTGCTGCTGTAACAGAAACCAGGAACTAAAAAAATTGATCTGATGAGAGAGTCAAAATGTAAAATATATATATAGTTGTAAAATCATGCACTCCAGTCTGCACTAGCACTATTCACGTTTGTCATTTCATTTAAATATCACTAGACATGTTTGTCATTTCCTTGCACATAAAGTGAATGTAATTCTGACTGTGACCATTGGAATTCTGCCACTTGACTTGTTCTGGTGCTGTAGGCCCACAGTTTAACAGTTGCAATCAGACTATTCCTCATCAAAGAAACTAGGGATCTAAGTTAAAGTTAATTGCATGGAGGAAAATGAATAGTATGTGGATATCAATTCACTGGATAGTTTCCTACCTCACTCAGACTAAAGGGAACTGTAATAAGCCTGTGTAAATACATCTAAAGAATTATCATTGACGGAGGAAGAGTATCAAATAATCTCTAGGTGGTAAAAAAAGGAAGGATAGCCCCTAAAGCTAAAAATGAGGAAGACACCTTAAAAGGTACCTTCAAATACTGCTTACACATCCTATGTAATCCCAGTAAAATGAATAGGCCAGAACTTGAACCTGAGGCCTTGTCTACACTACAGGGGAAATTCGATCTAAGCTACGCAATTTGAGTTACCTGAATAGCGTAACTCAAATCGACGTAGCTTTGATCTACTTACCACGGGGTCCACACTACGCGATGTCAACGGGAGACGCTCTCCCGTCAACTCCCCCTACTCGTCTCAATCTGGTGGAGTACAGGAGTCAACGGGAGAGTGATCTGCGGTCGATTTAGTGGGACTTCACTAGACCTGCTAAATTGACCGCTGATGCATCGATCGCCGCTTGTCGATCTCCCGGTAAGTGTAGACAAGCCCTTATTGATTAGGTATTGGTAAAAGGGAAGTGATTCTGTTCAGGGATAGATGTCAGCTGAAACACCAGTGAGAATAAATGCAAGGAGTGGGACTGATGAATTAAGGTGTCTATAACTATGTGATTGCTATCCAGACTGAGCAATAGAGGAGGTGGCTTCTAGGATGTGACAGAACATACCTTAGATGTTCATCCACCATTGTGTAGTTTCTCTCTAAACATTCAGTCTGGTCTCACATGCAGCACACAAGTATATGTCCCAGAAACTGTCCTTAAGTTTCCATGAAAGAGAGTGTTAATGAAAAATGTTAAATAATGGTAAGGTTTGAAACACAAAATCCATAACTAATGTTATGGTGATGGGAGCAGTATGAGCACCTAAATACATAGAAGAGTTTAGAATGCTTAATGCTAAACTTAACAATGATGCGGTATCTTTAACTCATCTTGCTGTGATTTCTTTTTTGCCTAATAGCATATGTTAAAAGTAGAGGAGGAAATGTACCCCAAGCTTGAATTTTTCAGATATTGTGTTTATAAAATATGTGACATGACTCAAATGTGCATCCAGTGTCTTGCTTAGCAGACCTGTATACTAGTCAATACATTTCTTATATCCATGGGTATCATATAAGAAAAACAGTGCCATAAACCCCGTCTCCCTTCAAAGGCTGGCTTCCATCTGACTGTGTCATGTTGCAGAGATGTTACGAACTATGGGTATGTCAGTTGCACACCTTCTGTCCCCAGCTAACCAAAATGACTAATGGTACTGGAAGAGGAACCTGCTGTCTGGCATGAAATCTAATTGGCTTCGATGGTCTGCTTTTGCAGATTTGTTTATAAACTGGAAAATCTACAAATTGCAGACCATCTGCACAGAACAGTGTGCTAATGAATGCCTGTAGCCTGCAAATCCATAAGCTCATTACCTCAAAGTTGCAAGTCCTTCCACAAGTTCCCAACTGAGGTTATCCATCTGAACTGAGACTTGGAAGGGTATTTGACTTCAGGATACAACCCTACCTACTTTAAGTCTGAAAAACCTGTCTATAAAAATGAGACACATTTGTTCAGCCTCTTAACAGGGTCTAAAGATTCCGCTTCTGTTTTTAGTTTCTCAGTTCTGTAAAACACCAATTCACCTTGCCTTAAATTAATATGTCAGTCAAACATTCCAAGTGGAGAAGTGCCTTGCAGATAGCTTCTGAGTAACAATAACTATCCCTGGGTTGTGGTTATTTTCACTGTGCATCTTTCTCTCCAGCTGTCCTGCTTCATTCTCTTCTCATCTCCCTACCCACCAGGTGGAATGGCTTAAGAACGAGGAGCCCATCGATTCCAACCAGGATGAGAACATCGACACCAGGGCAGATCACAACCTGATCATCCGCCAGGCCCGTCTGTCTGATTCCGGGAACTACACTTGCATGGCTGCCAACATAGTGGCCAAGAGAAGGAGCATGTCTGCAACAGTCGTGGTGTATGGTCAGTGGAAATGTGTAATAATATTTACTGCCTGGATTCTTTGCATCAGTAATAACCAGTGGGTTGCAAATAAAGATCATATTTGTTTGTACAGTGCCTAGCACAATGGGGTCCTTGTCTGTGATGAGGGCTTCCAGGCACTCCAAGAGTATAAATAATCCTTTTTCCAGTTATTAATAAGGTCCACTTATAAGCCTGGCCAAAGAAATAAGCCTTACATATGGTGCTCTTAAGCCCTGATTCAGGAAAGCACTTAAGCACATGTCTAAATACCATTCTAAATAGCGATATGCTCAAGTGCTTCCCTTAATTGGACCTATGTAGCATTATACAAACAGTAGTTAATGAATCTAAGGGCTGGTCTTTTCTACGGGGAGATTGACGCTGCTGCAATCGATGCAGCAGGGGTCGATTTAGAGGGTCTAGTGAAGACCTGCTAAATCAATGGCAGAGCGCTCTCCAGTCAACCCCGGTACTCCACTTCTTTGAGAAGAGTAAGGGGAAAGTCGACCGGAGAGCATCTCCCATTGACGCAGTGCAGTGAAGACACTGGGGTAAGGCGACCTAAGCTACGTTGACTCCAGCTACAATGTTCATGTAGCTGGAGTAGTGTAACTTAGGTTGACTTACCCTGGTAGTGAAGACAAGCCCTTAAATGTTGTGTGGCACTGGTAGAAGAAGCAGAAACATTTATTTTCACCACTACCTGTTGCTTACAGTGTTCATTAAACTGGAGAGTGACATTTTATTGATGAAGTCAGAGGCATGCCTAAACCATCACTTTTTAAAAGAACGATTGTGTTTATCCTTTAAGTGAAGCATATTTGAAGAGTACTGAGGTGCCTGCCTCCACATTCCCTTCAGAGTCTCACTGTCAGTTATTACACCTTCTGGCATATAAACCCACCAAAGGCAAACACAGCAGTTCTTTGACACCGCGTCCTTTATGTAATTGCATCCTGGTGCTATTTAGGTGGTGATGCCCCTATTTGGGCTTGGAATTTACCTTGCAGAATATATATATATAAAAAAAAATCTGAGAACAAAAAGATCAGAAATGAAGACTTGATGCTTAAGTCTTACCATGCCATCCATAATGCCATGCATGTGTGTTGCAGTGAATGGAGGCTGGTCGTCATGGACTGAGTGGTCTAACTGCAATGTGCGGTGTGGCCGAGGCTGGCAGAAGCGATCCCGGACCTGTACCAACCCTGCTCCGCTCAACGGGGGTGCATTTTGTGAGGGAATGTCAGTGCAGAAAATTACCTGCACTTCACTTTGCCCTGGTGAGATATCCAAGTCTAACTTTAAATGTCACACCAAGAGAGCATTCTCTCCATCTGAAGTGCTTGGTGGCTACCTGTGTATGCAGAGTTACTGGGATCAAAGGGGAATTGGGAAGGCATTTGTTTAGACCGAAGTTCGTAGTCTGTGCTTTTTATCTTTTTGTGCAATAGCAAAAGTGAACTCACCTGGGTGCTTAGGCACTAAACAGTGATTGTTGTGATATAAAGAGAGGTCTCCACATATTCAAGGACTGGTCCCCCTTAAAACTGGGCACAGCACTCCATTCCTTATCTCCTGAATGTAGGGCTTAGTGATGTTGGTAACTTTAGCAGGAGAAACACAGAACCCTGAGCTCAGGACATAATGAGTAAATAAAGGATAATCTGGTTTTCAAATGCTTTGCTTTAAAATGCATTTTCCCTTTTTATACCAAGCTCAGGTTATAACTGAAGCACAGTTATGTCCCTTGAGACAGTGTATTGCCTCTCTTGTTCACCTGAAACACAATTTGTCTGATTTTGGGAAAGAGAGGGGTGTCCAACACATGTGGGTAAACAAAACTGGTGTGTGTGTGTGTGTGTGTAATTTTAGGATTGAATATTTTTGTTGGGCCTGATCCTTACCTCATTTAAATTGGTGCAAGTCTCTCCATTAACTTTTATGGCCTTTGGACCCAGTATTTACTGATTTGGGATTTAAAAGAATCGTAAGTGCTTGTGTTCACCTGACTTGTGTGTGAGAAATGTAGACAGGGCACTGTGGAATGCTTTTAAGGTATGAGTCGGGACAGAGAGAACTACAGATAAGTCAGAGACATACTGATCCTAGATCTCACTCAGGGCATTAAAGAGAGGCCACCAAAGTCATCTATGCTCTTTTGGTAAATGTCAGCACTGTTCCTGCTCTAGAGCTGTGTGAAGACTCCACACACCAGCCTCCTTAGAGCTGAATTTTGGATGAACACTAGGAGCTAATAGCTGCATTACAAAGAAATATCTGTCAGATTCCCTCTTGCAGTTTTTTATTGGCTGTAGGTGATGGTCTTTACTTCCTGCCCTAAACTGTTAGCCTAAATAGAGCACAGCAGCAATACCTATGTCTACACTAGAGACCTTACAGTGGCACAGCTGTACCACTGCAGATCTCGTGTAGCCACACTGTGCTGATGGGAGAGAGCTCTCCTGTCGGCATAATTAAACCATCCTCGACGAATGGTGGTAACTATCTCGGCGGGAGAGCATCTCCCACTGATGTAGTGCTGTCCACACCGATGCTTCTGTTGGTGTAACTTATGTCGGTCAGGGGGTGGTTTTTTCCCACCCCCGAGCAACATAAATTTTACCGACAGATGTGCTAGTGTAGACATAGCCTTAGAAAGATGCTGCGTTCCACCCCAGAGGTGACTGTGTTTCAGTGGTGGATATCTGTGTGTATAATATGGGAGAGAAGAAAATTAGAATCCTAAAGATCTATAGGATCTTTCTGGTTAATAGGTGCTAGATATGTGTCATCAGAATGGCCTGCATCTTTAAAATCAGTATTATGTAGGTCGTATCCAGAAATAAAGCTCATCTTCTGTACACACATCTCTTGAGTTTGATAGTGTGTGCTCCACGTGCTAAGTCCCCCTGAGTAGGGGACTAAGGGCTTGTCTACACTACCGCGTGGGGTCGATCTAAGATACGCTACTTCAGCTACGTAAATAGCGTAGCTGAAGTTGACATACTTAGATCTACTTACCACAGTGTCTTCACTGCGGTAAGTCAACAGCTGACGCTCTCCTGTCGACTCCGCTTGCGCTTCTCGTTCTGGTGGAGTACTGCTCAGCGGTCAATTTATCGCGTCTAGACGCAATAAATTGACCCCCGCTGGATTAATCGCTGCCCGCCGATTCGGCGAGTAGTGTAGACAAGCCCCTAGGTTTCTTTAATAGTAACCCTGAACACATCTGAATAACCAGTGGAGCAGGTGGAGTTCAGTACAGTCTGATCACACCAGTGGTCAGATAACACATACTGATCATGTGTATTTTTCTTCCTGTTTAGTGGACGGTAGTTGGGAGGTGTGGAGCGAATGGTCAGTCTGCAACCCGGAATGTGAGCATCTGAGAATTCGGGAATGTACAGCTCCACCTCCAAGAAATGGAGGAAAATTCTGTGAGGGCTTTAGTCAAGAATCTGAGAATTGCACTGAAGGGCTTTGCATTCAAGGTAGGTGACGTGACAGTGACCCCTTGCATTAGCAGCTATCTGAAGGTATTTCCTTCTGAAAGAAATGCTGGAGTGTGGGGCTCTAGAATGCAACACCATAACTCACAGTCAAGTCTGTAGGAGGCTCGTGGCTGAAATCCTTACAGACGTTGGAATACATTTTCAGGGAGTTGTGTATCTGCTAATTTGAAATTCTCTTGGCTCTTGGCTCTTTGTTATGGCCTGAGGCAAAGCCCCCTGAAGTCAATTATAAGGCTCGCTTTGGCTTCAACGGCCTCTGGGTTAGGCCCATAGTGAATAATTTATCAGGATTTAGGAAGTGTAGCCTGTACAGGCCAAGTTCACTTCATCTTTACAGCACCAGGTGATTCTGGTGAGCGGTGTAAAAATTCTTCGTATGTGTAAAATTTTGCCCTCGTGAGTCACCCAGCGGAAATGTATCTTGCAGTATTGGAACACATCCTTTAGCTTTCCAACTTCTCATGGGATTAAATGGGTGAAGCACCAACATGTGTCTTGTTGGTGTCTTAGATACTTTGGGTCAGATTCAGTTCTCATTTGCACCTTTGCAACTCAGTAAGATTTCATAGGTGTAACTAAGGGCTGATTTAGGCTCTGCATGTTAACTGTGAACTCCTTGCAACAAGATCCTGATGCTTTTTGAATGTTTGGAAAGCATTTAGCACACTGTGATTGATGCAATAACAACTAAGGATCCAAGAAAAATCCGTGCTGCAGCTGAAATATCAGCCTAGAGGTGCAGAACATCCGGGACAGCTTCATATTCTTGAAATAAATGAGAAATTAATGAGTTTATTCCTCTGTTCCATTCAGTTCCATATCCATAAAGCAATATTGTCACCTCATCCCGTTATAGCAATAAAATGGCAACTTTGGGAACAATCAGGGACTCTAGGACTGAAATAAGTGAGTTGAAAAAAAAAACCCAAGTTTGTTTTATTTTTAAACGGTTTCCTTTGTTTCAGTTTCCATGGCAGTGTCTTCCCCTCCCTCCTTAGTCATAGGAAGTCAAGTGGAGAGCTCAGGCTCCAATCTAATCCAGTTAGTGTGGCAGTGTACGGTAGTGGATAAAGCACTAGATTGGGAGTCAGGAGATGTGGGTTCTATTTCTAGCTCTGCCGCTGACCTGTTGGGTAACCCATCTGTAAAGTGGGGATAATGACCTTCCTTATGTAAAGCATTTTGAGAGCTATGGATCTATTGCTTTTTTTTAATTAAAGGGTTCCTGACACCTGTGTTACTCAGTGTTTGAACTCACTTTTTATTCACTATAGTTTATAAGTAGTTTACTGCAGTTTTATTGGCTGGTAAAGGGAACTTCTCCCATGTAGGTCCATCCCCTGTAGGTCAACATGCCTTGCACAGAACTGGCACTAGCTGTTGTGTCTACCTGTGGCATTGAGCACTTGCAGACTGCTCTAAGTTTGCAGTGCTGCATCATCACTCAACAGCCAAATCCCTCCCTAGTGCAGCTCTGTTGAA